CCTCCTCCTCCTCCTCTTAGGGAAAGGAGCCATCTCCCACTTCCACACACCCCCCCGAAAAGCTGACCTTTAAAAGTGAGCAAGTCTGATAAGAACCAGCAAGTGTTTGCTTCAGGCAGTAGAGCTAACCAGGGTAATGGAGGAGGACGGATAGGGATGCCAGCCTCCAGGTGGGAGCTGGAGAATCCCCTGGAATTATAGAGCGTTTCCAAACTGCAGAAATCAGTTACCCTGGAGAAAATGGATGCCTTGGAGGGTAAACTCTGTGGCACTGAACTGTATTAAGGTCCCCGTCCTCCCCAGGCTCCATCCCCAAATCTCCAGGAGTTTCCCAGTCTGGATCTGGCAACCCTACCCCCCCCATCCCTGGCAGTGGCCAGGGGGGGATCTGGCAACCCTAAGATGGGGGTAAACTTCAAGGGATTCAGACTCGTGGAAGGGAGCCCAGGCATAGAACATGACACGGACAACTGTTAGCCGACAGATTTCCTAAAATCAGAACGCATAGGGAAAGGGCAATGCTGTTTGTTGTTCTTGTATGCCCATCACGGTGGTGGGTACATCATTGACTTATTTATTTGATTCTATTGGATTTTCAGCCCTCCCTCCCTCCCTCCCTCTGCCCTGCAGGGCTCGGAATGGGTTACAGTGATAAACAGAATCATTTAAAATGAGTAAAACGTAATTAAACAACATGAAGACCTATACAAACATCGGGTGATGCAACACACAAGATGGCGGTCAGGCAAAAAATAATAAGAGCTCCTGAGAGGAGCTGTATGTGCATGTGCCCAAGATGAACTAGGTACTGGGTAAGTGGGTAAAAGTGACAACCAGTAACATGGAGCAAGATGGGGCAAAACAGAAGAGGAGGTATTGGATTTATACCCCGCCCTTCACAGAAGAGGAGGTATTGGATTTATACCCCGCCCTTCACTCGGAGTCTCAGAGTGGCTTACAGCCTCCTTTCCCTTCCCCTCCCCACAACAGACACCCTGTGAGGTAGGTGGGGCTGAGAGAGCTCTTTCGAGAACTGCCCTTGAGAGAACAGCTCTGAAAGAACTATGGCTTGCCCAAGGTCACCCAGCAGCTGCATATGGAGGCGTGGGGAATCAAGCCCAGTTCTCCCAGATTAGAGTCTGTGCTCTGTAACCACTACACCAAACTGCCCAATGTAAAGTCTGCTGACTCGTGCTTGCTGACTCTCCCCCATTCTACCCATTCTTGCGGCGGGAGAAAAAAGGGAGGGGCTGTCACGGACATTGCTATGTCCTCTCCAGTTGTTGCATCCTCAGTGCTCTAGGAATTTCCCCACTTTATGGTCTTTACCATAGAGATACGAACGAGTCCTACAGCGTCTTGTGACAGGGTGATATTGTTTCCCGGTCGTTATCTGAAAGTGATATCACTAAGTCACACAATGTTCCCACTCCCCGTGCCCTTCTGCATGCCAACCAGACACTCTACCACATGCACAGCTGACCCGTGAGTGGGTCTGGTCACCTCTGGTGCCTGCAGAGGCCTCCAGCACTCAGCTCTGACAGGGCACAGGCGGTGAGAGGGCGACGGGCGGAGGGGGTTGGTGGGCCTCTAGCAGCCATGACATCACCTCCTCCAGCCACCCCACTCCATGGCCCACCCACCTCCACAGTGGCTCTGGCTTTTGGTTTGCAGTCTTCCCCACTCCTCCACATGCAGCTGCTGGTGTGACCTGGGTTCAGCTGCAAGTTGTTTCAGAGCTGTTCTCTCAGGAGCAGTCCTCAAAAGAGCTCTCTCAGCCCCACCTACCTGACAGGGTGTCTGTTGTGGGGAGGGGAAGGGAAAGGAGATTGTAAGCCGCTCTGAGACTCCTTCGGGTAGTGAGGGGCAGGGTAAAAATCCGATTTCTTCTCTCTTCTAATCCCTGATGAGTCTATACATTTTTATGGTTCAGTTTATTAGAAATGCAGTACAAGTCTTTTAAAAAAGGTTTATCCCATGAAGGCTGCTGTGGATTTCTCATAGCTCAGGAAAGGAGGAGCACAAAGCAACACAGCGTAGAACAGCTCTGAG